GACACATTCATCATCTTGACAGCTGGTTTCGGTAACAACAACTGTCTTGGTAACACCTTGGGTTTCGGTTACTTATTTCACCTTCATTAGTTTCAGAATTCTCCTCAACGTTTTACCTTCAACATATTAACTAGAAACTTCAGTATCTTTATTAATTGGATGAGTAAGCTTGACCAAACAAACTTTTTTGTGTTTTTGTTTTAGTAAATTCGTCATCTTTGCATTTAGGACCATCTTATGAACTTGACAGATAACGTGACACATTTCTTGGGTAGATAGCGAAATAGCAATTTTGTATTGAATAACATTCTAATAAAGTAAATATTGTTCTGATACCTTTCATGATACCAGCCCATTCAATATTTTGATAACTTAACTTAGAATCATCAGAGCTTCTTTCAATAGAATTTAACTTGCAAATTATTTCAGTGAACTTATTCAGTTTATTCCAAATCACCTTCATTTGGGAAAATTAATAAATCATCTCAATTCTTCTTTCCATTTGGTCAATATCGTTTTCCACTTTCATTTGTTTAGTTTGAATTATCTGATCGGAGAATAGCACTGCTCCCCTATTTCTAGTATTGAACAGACATATCAAACTTCAGCATCCATAAATTAATAAATGATCCCAAAGTCCTTTATATGGTAATAACTATTTTCGATAGAACTATCACACAATTAACATGTTTAACTAATTCATAATTCATTCATTGCATCAAATTTCTTCAGACATTTCTTAACAAAATTAAAACACCTAATTCTTCAAAATTCGGTTGTATATTAACTTAGCATTCTCATAGTTTCATTTCCATAATAATTAATTCTATAATAGGTAGCTTGACTTGGAGCTTCTTCGATCATTAAGATTCGTATTGCTTTTAATATCAATTACTTTTAATATCAATTACATTTGGTTGTAAAAATTCTTTCTGATAATTTTTCACACTTAATTCTTCAAAGTTCATTTAAATCTAAAATTAAAACTCTAGTAGGTTCATTTTCACAATTATTAACTTTTTGATGGGTACCTTGACTTCAATATCTTACTTGACTTATATTGTCTTAAACCTTTCTTAAACTTAAGGTTATCACTATCATAAAATTATACTTTACACAGCAAAATCTTTTATAATAAATGGAATCATTGATGGGAGAAAACATTTTCATCTGGTGTAAACCCATGCCTCAGACATGACTATAAAACTTTAATTTATTGATTAAACTCGACTTAATAAATGGTTAAACTTTGAAAGATTAAACTTTAACTCATAATATTGATTCTCGAAATCTGTTGAAATTGTATGGGTTAATCCTGCACATAAAATATTTGTTGGATTTAGAAATGTGAGGTATATATTTAGTGGCAAATTCCCTTAAGGAATTTGTAGGTAAATTTGGGAGAGTAACGAAATTAATGTCAGCAACACCTACTTCAGACGGCGAAGCCCGTAAAATTTTATCCGCTCCTCTTAACTTGTCACAACAAAATCCTAACAACTTTTATTTTGACTTCTAATCTGTTGAACTAGAAGTGTGCTCGCGTAGTGAAACGGTGAATATTCAAGAACAATAAGTTATGTACTAGAGTTCTATGTATAGATGATAAACCCAGGGATGTCAATATATCAATATTAATATCGATATACTGTGATCAGTAATTTTTGTAATAAGTAGCAGACAGCTGGAACCACTCTTTCGATTAGTTTAACTAAAAGTACCGTTTGGGGAAATTACTATGGTGCGATCAATTTATTTGAACGATGGCCAACTGGACCCTTACAACGGAAAAAATAAATATCCAAGTGTTAACCAATGACGTGAAATCATACTAGTATGTAAGTGTTACGTTACCCCCACAACCCACTAAGGTAGAATACCAACAAAAATTGCCACCGAACAAACCTGAGAATAAAAGTATGAGAAGTTTTGAGAAAAGAGTTTCTAATATTTAATTGTTTAGACTAAGGATTTTAATATATAATCAAGTGCTGTATCTGTAACAGTCATGTTTTTCTTCATTCTAATCTTGTAAGCTCAGTAGAGGCAGTTCCATTTTTAACAGAGAACACCCAAAATTTTTTTTTTTCTGGGGCAATAGAAAATGTATACAAAAAGGGGTTGGACGCCCAGATTTGCAAATAAATCTCGGAGACACCGTAAATTCTCGATTAAAGAAGGTAAAGGTTTAAGCTTGTTCTTTAATAAAAGTTAACGAAACTAACAATCCGGAATTACCATCAATCCCTCAACGCCTCGATGGATTTCCCGAGTGTATAAATATGGTTAACTTTCCCACTTCTTTTTATATCACTTTCTTTTAGAATTAGGCATTTCTTTATCCTCATTTTAGACAAATGTCTCTATAGATTATATTACTTTAGTTTATCGCTACATAGGTGTGAATCCCCAATATACACTAGCTGGTATCTAATAGCTCTAAATAATTTATACAAACTATATGAATCCCTAACAAAACTAAGTTTAGTACTAAGAGCATGCTTCCCCGACAACTACGAACCTTGGCGTTGACTTAATGCAATGGTTTTTATTGTCCTTGGTTATCTACCGTTTCACTATGGTAGCAAGCTTCTAGTTCAACAATAAACGTTCAAAATGAAACTTGATTTTAAAATAAGATACTCATTTGTTTCTCTATCTGAATATACAATCATTTAAACTGTTTAACAAAATGGTTGTAGTTAAGAGTACACAAATTTCGCATCTCTTGCTGTGAAATGACGAAGGTTTGTAGCACGTTCTCCTCGGGTCTAAACATGACTTGACATATTAGCATAGGCTCAGATTTTTCACTTTTGACTGTCCCTTAAAAGTGTATACCAATTCTTCAACTATAACAAGATCCATAAATTTCTGCATTACTTAATTACAGATTTATCGGGCGTCTTTTTACCGTTTAATATACCAAAGTCACTAGAAGTTAATTATCCAAAATATAGAAATTTTATTCATATCAAAAATATATATTTAAAAATCTACACACAAACATATTTAAAAATAAGGGAAACAATCCCACTGTCATATAAAACAAATTTAAATAAAAAGAGCTCCAATCAAGCCCACGAAAATACCAGTAATGCTTGCTTTGAAAATTCTCGAGGCCGCAACACCTTCAAGAACCGCAGAAGGCTGCGATTCTGACCCTGTTGCCCATCTAGTCTGTTCGGTAGCTATTTCCTCAGTTCTCACCCTTTCGACACATGCGTCACCCTCACAGCTAGTTTCAGTCACAACAACGGTCTTAGTAACAGATTGGATCACCTTAGTATAATCCTCGGGACTACGAACATCAACAAACTCAGTGCTGCACCCTTTAGCTAAACATTCAACAATTACACCTATAGTTTTCACCACTATTACGTCTCCTGAACTTGTCCTGATAGTGCTAAAGTAGTCAACATCAGGTTTGGGCTTGGGGGCAGAAGTAGGCAATACATCTTCGAACGCCAGAGTTGTGGTATACCACTTACCCTTCTCGTCGGTGGAAACGATAACCACACCCGTGTTAGTTTTCCCATCTTTGTCCACATAGGTAGTGGTGTATTTTGCTTCTTCGAAGTCCAGCGTAGTAGTGTACCAGTCCTCATTTTCATCAGTAGTAACAACAACAACTCCCGTCTTGGTGGAACCATCTTCATCGGTGTATGTAGTCGTATAAGATGTTGCTTCGAAGTCCAGAGTAGTAGTGTACCAGCTCTCATTTTCATCAGTAGTAACAATCACAACACCTGTCTTGGTGGAACCATCGTCATCGGTGTATGTAGTGGTATAAGATGTTGCTTCAAAGTCCAGCGTAGTAGTGTACCAGTCCTCATTATCATCAGTAGTAACAACAACAACTCCAGTCTTGGTGGAACCATCGTCATCGGTGTATGTAGTGGTATAAGATGTTGCTTCAAAGTCCAGCGTAGTAGTGTACCAACTCTCATTTTCGTCAGTAGTAACAATCACAACACCTGTCTTTGTATCACCATCTTCATCAACGTATGTAGTGGTGTACTTATTGTCATCCAAGTTCAGTGTTGTAGTGTACCAGTCCTCATTTTCATCAGTAGTGACAACAACAACTCCCGTCTTGGTGGAACCATCTTCATCGGTGTATGTAGTCGTATAAGATGTTGCTTCGAAGTCCAGAGTAGTAGTGTACCAGCTCTCATTTTCATCAGTAGTAACAATCACAACACCTGTCTTTGTATCACCATCTTCATTAACATAGGTAGTGGTGTACATATTGTCATCCAAATTCAGTGTTGTAGTGTACCAGTCCTCATTTTCATCAGTAGTAACAACAACAACTCCCGTCTTGGTGGAACCATCTTCATCGGTGTATGTAGTGGTATAAGATGTTGCTTCGAAGTCCAGAGTAGTAGTGTACCAGCTCTCATTTTCATCAGTAGTAACAATCACAACACCTGTCTTTGTATTACCATCTTCATCAACGTATGTAGTGGTATAAGATGTTGCTTCGAAGTCCAGAGTAGTCGTGTACCAGCTCTCATTTTCGTCAGTAGTAACAATCACAACACCTGTCTTTGTATCACCATCTTCATCAACGTATGTAGTGGTGTACTTATTGTCATCCAAGTTCAGTGTTGTAGTGTACCAGTCCTCATTTTCATCAGTAGTGACAACAACAACTCCCGTCTTGGTGGAACCATCTTCATCGGTGTATGTAGTCGTATAAGATGTTGCTTCGAAGTCCAGAGTAGTAGTGTACCAGCTCTCATTTTCATCAGTAGTAACAATCACAACACCTGTCTTTGTATCACCATCTTCATTAACATAGGTAGTGGTGTACATATTGTCATCCAAATTCAGTGTTGTAGTGTACCAGTCCTCATTTTCATCAGTAGTAACAACAACAACTCCCGTCTTGGTGGAACCATCTTCATCGGTGTATGTAGTGGTATAAGATGTTGCTTCGAAGTCCAGAGTAGTAGTGTACCAGCTCTCATTTTCATCAGTAGTAACAATCACAACACCTGTCTTTGTATTACCATCTTCATCAACGTATGTAGTGGT